AAAAAGGGGGAGAAAATGGTAATTTTGATAATTCACATAAACAGATACCAAAAGGCAACTCATACATGATAAATTACATCTAATCATATTTTTTGAGTGTTTCAGAGCTAATAATTCTCATCTGATAAAATTCTAAGAATTAACTCTGAACTAAAGTCTGAGAATCTACAAGTGTGCTCTGACGCTGAAAAGAATACAGAAGCTGAAAGGGAAGTATTTAATTTTTTTTTCCAGAAGTATTCATTTCAGGGGGAGATTAATATTCTCAGGGGGAGAGATATTTTTTTCTATTTGGAAAAAATTTCCCATAGTTTTTGTCATCATCAAAAAGGGGGAGATTGTTAGAACACAGATTGGTGTTTAATATATCTTATTGTTTTGATGATAACATTAATGAAATTTTGTATAGAAAATTTATATACTCTAATTTTGTTCAAGTGTTTATTTATTTCAGATATCAAAATTAACATTATTCTGGAAGTAAGAACGCCTCTGAACACTACAGAACGATGAAGCTATGAGCGTCAGAAGCAATACATCAAAAGACTCTGATCTGCTACAGATGACTCTGAGTGAAGCTGAGAAGAATTTTAGTAAAGAACATACAATATTGTTTCAGAAGACTCTGGAAGTACTTAACGCTGCAAGTACAGAGGCTCTGATAAGCAAGTATGCTCTGATATAAATATTCACGCTTAAAGCACTTTGCTGCAAAACTCTGATCTGAAGAACTAGGAACATCATCAGAGGATCTGATGCAAGATGTTCCAAAGTTGTTGAAGAAGATGCTGTTCAAATAAAGATTCGTTGGCATATTCCTTGTCCTTATCCAAACGGCTCTTTCCTCATTCGTGCATGACACAGGAATTCAGACAAAAAGGATTTGTCAGAACATTCCCCTTTTGAGAAAGGAAAAGTCAATAGAAGACAAAAGCAACAGAATGCACAGTCTTTGAGAAATGGACTTCAAGTACTATAAAAGCAAGTCTCAACATCACTTCAAAGCTAATGATTTATTGACGAAATTATTTACTCATCACTTGATAAATTATTCAACAAGCAACTCATACAAACATTCTTCAAAGCTGAATAGTTTTTATTTCGTTCTTTAACTTGTGTAAAAATCAGTGTTGTGATATAGCTTTTTAGAAGCAAATCTTAAACACATTGTTAGTTTATCTTTTATAAAAGATTCCTTAAGAGACCAAGTGTGGTCAGATTTCTTGAGAAGACTAAGACAGTTGTCTTAGTGGTTAACACTGTAATCAGTTTGATTTAGTGGATTAAGTCCTTGTTGAGAAAGGCAAATCACCTTGGTAGGGTGGACTGGATTAGTTTGAGTTCAAACGAATCAGGATAAAAATACCTTATTATTTTTACTATCATCTTAATTGTTTTAAAACCCTTATTCAACCCCCCCTCAAAGTGTTTTTCCTACCTTCACATACATCATATCATCATAGCTCATCATAATAATCATCATCATACATCATAGAAATCATCATATAATCATGTACAAATCACATAGCGCTTACAATCATACTCATATTAATTCATCATATTATCACATATTATCACATATTAATTCATAAATATACTCGCGGTAATCCTCATACTATCGCCTATTAATCACATAAACTTCACAGTCCTACTCATGTTAATTCGTCAAAGAAATCACAGAATCAAACATCAAAGCATCACTGCACACTATCAACATTCGCGAAACTCTACTATGTTCGCTGGCATGTTCGCTTGGCGAGTCTGGGGCGAGTTTCTTCGTTGTGCGAAGGATTCCTCGCTAGGCGAGTCTGGGAACACAATTGTTCGCTAGGCGAACAACGCGATGACAACAAATCTCAGTTACACACCAGAACCCAAAATCACTCAAAAAGCTCTACGATTCACTTTCCCACTTCCCCCAAAACATCCCTAAATCATCCATATGGTCTTACCGCGCTAAAGGCACAAAACCTACGGTTCATTAGGCCAATCTCACATCATATTCACGCCCTAAATCACAAATTTCCCTACACCTACCCATACTCATTAGAATGACTCAATATCTAATATTTATATCCCTTCAAGGTTAGACAAATAGCAATTCATGGTTTTTGGCCACGAAGGCCTAACTTTCATTTTCCCAATGAATTCCACGGTTAGATTCGCAAATAATAGATTTAGGCTACGAAGGCCAAAGATCACTATTTCTCATATCTACCCTCAAACTCTCAGGAATACTTACCACTACACCACAAGCATCAGAATCATCAGAGTTCTCACTATTAAATTTCCCTACAGGGTTAGACCAATGTCAAATCAGAGTTTTGGCCACGAAGGGCTAAGGTTCCTTTTTTCCCAATGAACCACGGTTAGATTCACTAATGATAGGTTTAGGCCACGAAGGCCAAAAATCACTTTTCTCATTATCAACCCCAAAATCCCTTAAACCTTAAATCGACCTTAAATACGTTCAATGTACACATAGAAAATCATGAAAGACAATATTCCTCATACCTTAATTGTCGATCAAAGCCTTCTCAAATATTTCTGGGAACCTTCCTAAACTTTTGCCTCCAATTTTTCTTCTCAGAGTTCTGCCCTCAATTCTTTTCACAATCTAACAAATAAATCCTAATCCCTTCACAATTTTCTTTTTGTTAAACCTAGATTTGGACTTCAGAATTGAGCTTTTCCCATATTATCTTCACTAACTCCTCTTAATGGTCCAATTTGCTCTTATTTCACTTATATTTATTTTAATTAATTATAATATTAATATATTCATATTATATATTATTATTCAAATTAAATAACCCAAATTCCGTTAATTCTCAATATTCCACAAAACCACCGAAAATCACCGAAATGCGAATATTCTTATTTAAATAAATTAAATAAATATTCCAATAAAATTTGGAGTACTACTAACAACATCATCAACACTCACAATGTTTCCCATCTTATCATCATTATTATCACATGAAAACACTTGTTCCCATTTTTGCTCTAGTGTATCTCATAAAACATTGATTTCTTCATTTCTTCTTTCAATGTTCTGTGAGTTCCTTCCTTGATAAACATGAAGGGACAATACCGTTTTCCCACAACAACACTTTCTGAAAATCTGTTTGTTATAGAGAATTTGAATTTTGGTTTGCTTGATCGGAGGGAATCATTTGCACCTAATTCTTCTGCAAGACTTGAACCACTTGATGTTGAAGCACTCACTTTCCACCTTCTACTTAATAATCTTGGAGGGTATCCATCTGGAGCAACAGATTTAGCTGAAAAACCACTCCTTAATGTAACTTTGCTTCTACGAGGATAGATCTCAAACTCTTGATATGGGCCACTGATATCTAGAGGATGTAGTTGTTCTTCAGAAACAAAATTGTAGAAACAGAATGTGTCCACATCTTCCTCCTTGGAGTTAATGTATGCTTCCCTGCAGAAGAAAAAAAAATTACTTAAGAGCCGTGTTTGATGCCGTACATGTCGAGCAACCGCACATGGGCCGAAATTTAACTCGTCTAAACCGAGGTAAAAAAGGCTTGATAAAATATTTGTGACAGTTAAACTACAACATAATAGGGTCTTTATTTGATTGATAACACTTAAGCCGTACTTAATCAACAGAGTACCTCTGAAAACTTAAATACTTAATTGCATAATTTTGTATAAAGAATGTTAAAAAGATTTCCTTTTTCACATAAGAAAGACTTACCCTCTTTTCTTGCCATGAAGATGCACCACATAGTATTTATTGGAAGACAGTGGCTGATTAAGAACAGGAATGAATGCAACATGATGGTAACGAGTAGTTCTATTGAGTGAAATGCCTGATCTATAGAACAGCTCAAGGTTCATGTTTTGAGCGAAAGGTAACCCCTAAACTTGATGGTACTTTCCCAAGCCAAAACAATTCCATATCATTATCTTGAATGACCAGAATACCAGAATTAGGACCTTCTGGTGGAGGCAATGAGAGAGCCTCTTCAGACTTTTTGTACAAAGAAAGAGGCATAGTCATATACTCGTTCTAATTTTTTTTCTTCTATTTTTATATCAAAGAATAACTTGTTTAATGTTGATCTTAATGGATGTATTAGAATATGCAGTTATTATATATATATATATATATATATATATATATATATATATATATATATATATATATATATATATATATATATATATATATATATATATATTTATGAGATGAGATGAAGTTTTAATTTGACATAGTCTATGTCAATCATTAATAATTTAACCAAAACGTGTATAAATACTAAAGTTTGACTGAATATGAAGAAAAATAAAAAATTTCCAATTACCAAGTACAGTAGTACTACTAATCTGTGGATTTCCAAATATGGTCCCCACATCACAATGAAAGAGTCCATTTTGGTTAGCATTGTTGGTTGGATGTTTCAACCAAAAAGAGGAGAGAGATTGATTTTGAGATTAGTGTAGGATGCTGAGCTGTCATGTTGAAGAGATTGGACCAAGCATGCAAAAGAAAAAACAAAAAATGTTGGGATGTTTTGTAGATGGGGTTCAAGTAGTTCAACATTTTTAACTTTAACAAATCATGTTATGGTTGTTGTCCAAATAGTCCACTTTTCTAATGATGCTTCTTGCGGACAACTCTACACTCATAATTCTCAATAAACATGTGTTGTTTTTTTCTCCATCAACTCTAATTATTTTTACTAGTAAAAGTTACAGTTCAAACATGGAAGAGTCAAAAGAGAATACCCTATCTCAGTTTCCTGGCACTTTCTTTCATATAGGTGATAGCAACAAGTAAAGCATCAATTTTGACAACGGACTTTCCAAGAAATGTGAAGTTCTATGTATTAAGGATTTACTCAAAATAACATTAGTAGACAAAGAAAGATATAACATGTCTAATGAACAGCAACTACAGACAATTTAAACCACAAACTAAAACTACATAGGAAGATGCTTTTTTTTTCATTGTGTTTTATGAAATTTGGTCAGGTTTTGAACATAAGGTCTTGATCTCTTTTCCTTGAATGATATTTGAAAATCCATCTCCAACCCTTGATGTTTTTTCTTCTTCCACTTTTCATTCCTCTGTCATTCACACTGATCCTACAAGATGAACCCCCATCCCCAACATTTATGCTTCCAAAACCTGAACCTGAGAGTGTATTATTATTATCAGCCATCTTTGCATTGTTGAAATCATGCTGCTTAGATTCTGATGAATAATCAAGCTTCAAGTCAATAAAACCAGATTCATCCATGCCTTTGAAATCACTCTCTCTAAGTGAAAAAACACGTCTGTTTATGTAGCTTCCATCAACTTCCATTACTCCACTTTTTCTACCATTCTCATATTCATAAAAGAAATCACTTCTTCTTGGCTCCGCTTCACTGTAACCACTTCTCCTACCAGATTCTAACATCAAACCGCCATTCACACCAGAGCTTCTAGCTGCAGAAATGGAACTTCTAGCACCTGATAAAACTGAATCACCACCATCTTCAGATCCAAATATAGCACCACCTCTGAAACTGCAAAGAGATCTTGACCTTGATACACCCCCATGAGGATGATGATCCACCATCCACATCTCACTCTTGTTGTCATCAAACCCAACAACACTTGTCCCACAATCCTTCTTCTTGTTCTTCCTAAATAGTTTCCCAATTCTCCAAAAACCATGCCGTTTTATATCAACACAGCTGCTGCTGCTTCTTCTCAGCACCACAACCTCTTCTTCTTTCTCATTCATCTTGGCCTTGGAACTCAAATGCTGTATCAGGTTTGTCTGATTCTTCTCATTCTCAATAAGAAAAGAAACCCTGCCAACACTTCCCACCTCAACAGAACATGAGTTTCTATTTGAAGTGATCTCATCAGAACAAGAACAAGATGAAAGCCTTTGTTCCCCACAATCTGAACATACAAGCTTCACCAAACGCTCCTTAAGACAGTAAGCACAAATACCACCACCACCACCAGAAGAAGAAGAAGAAGGATGTTTCTTACATGGAAGAAAATCAGAAGTAGAGTAGTAACAGTCCATGTGATTGGTATATGCTTCAACACCTTTGTTTCTGTCCATCATGGCCTCACTCTAGGTGCAGTTCTTCAAAAGGAAAGTGAAAAAAGAGTGGTGTGAAAAAAGGAACCGAATACTTACTTTACTTAGCTTGAAGAAGCAGACTCTATGTATGAGTATGAGTAATAAAAAGTTGAATATATGAAAGAATGAATGAATAAAGGAGAGTATAGAGAAGCGTTTCCTTTACGTTTTGTTTGCAGTAAAAGAAGTAAAGCAGTAACTAGCTCCTGCAGGCATTATTGTGTAGGGAAGACAGTAAAGTCTTTTGTGTAGAATGGCATGCATATATGTTGATGATAAGTACTAAGAATGTGCACATCACATACCTACCATGCCAAAGTTGAGAATAAACCCATCAATCTTTGAATGAACTGTCAACAACAATTCCTCCTTTGAATTAGTGGGCTTGAGAAAGCAGGCATACTCATTTGTCCACTCTCTTTTTAGCATCAATCCTTGAAACTAAGACATATACATATAGTAGTCTATGTCCCTTTACTTGTGCCTCATAACCACGTGTCTTACCGACACATCTCTCTCATTTTCAATATAACATCGCTAGCTCCACCTTTAGTATTCTACTTCATCATGCCCGTATCAATTATGATTGTTCCTTCCAATTCATTAATCTTTTATATATTGCATATAAACTTACTTTATCAACTTTTGTTACATTTATTTATTTGTTGGGATGTGTTATTTAAATACAAAATTTGTAAATAGTGCATAACTTTCCCTTTCTCAATTGTTTTCTTCATTTTGTACAATTAACTTCCATAAGTAGTGGATAGTGGGATTTCCTTGATGGAGGGACGGACTATTTTTTTTTATTTTTATGTACATCTAACTCGTATAGGGACGCATAAATATGCTAATGAATTCTCTCCGTTGTCTTTTCCACTAATTGTTGATCTTGTTGAATGTCATAAATATCATAGTTGATTCAATGTGCTAGGATCACGTAAAAGATCCTAAATGCGAAGAAACTAAATGAACATCTGCTTAACATATGGACAATGTTGGAAATTCACGTGTGATCTTTAGAAGGAGGCCACCTTCCACAATCCTTGGTGGAGCGAGGTCAAATTGATTGAAAGTGAGGAAGAGCTCGGAGGAAGTTAGGATTTTATCTAGGTCTTAAAGGTTTATAAATACCTACCTATAGAGTTAGGTCAAGTATTACATTCACAAATCGCTGACTAAAGACCTCTTGCTTGGTGTATTGTTAGAAGGGTTCATATAATTGTACTCACCACAGGTATAGTTGGAGGCCACCATGGGGCCCGATAAAACATTCATGGACCGCACCTTCTCAACAATAGTTTTCCCTTGTGTTTCACAATTCTCTAGAGGCAATCAAGAAGAATTAGCAAAAATACAAGTCATGATGGATGAACTGTGTTACCATAACAAAACCCTGCAATCAACCATCCGAACAATCCAACAACAACAATTGAGAACAATATGCCATGAAGGGGTAGAGATTGAAGATAACACCATTCTTAGTTGAAGTTTAAGACTCCACAGTCTTAGGGAATTTTAAATCTCCCCCATTGATACTGTTTGATGGGAAAAGATCCCCAAGAGCATGTCACCTCATTCAACATACAATTTGAAGATTATAGGCGCGACAAACTCATTGGAATGCAAAATCCTTCATGGGTTCTTGAAATATGGAGCCTTATAATATTACATAATCCACCAGTTATCTGCTAGTAAACATTGCAAGGTGTCCATCACGAGTCTCTTTAACGTGATACTGGTTCACTCTGAGCCATTGCATGAATACCTAGTACGCTTCAATTAAGCCACCAACAAGGTGGTGAATCCTAACCAAGAAATGTTTATAGGAGCTTTTCAGAATGAACTAAGGGCCTAACACTTCAATGAATCCATATCCCAAAAAGCAAATGATTCAATGTAAGAAATAATAGAGATAGCCAAATGTTACGTCAAACGCGAAGAATGTAAGAAAATGGTCAGTTATGCTAAAGAAAAAAGTAGTGGTGGGGCGAACTCATCTCATCACCAGAATAACTATCCACAACCAAATATTGTTAGAGAAACTTTTAAACAACTTCTTATGATAGAGTTGGTGATAAGTCTATCACATGAAAATAATTCTTGAATCCTGAGTATCAAGATGATAGGCTATCAGAAACGAGTCTAACAAATGGTGCAAAAACCACATGGTGAAGGACCATTACACCGATGACTGCTATAATTTGAAGAACTAGATAAAGTGACTTATTTAGGAAGAGCATATGAGAATGTAGTTACAAGGCCATCTGTAACGCCCCGATTCTGATTTTCCTAGTTATTTATTGAGTCTTTTATTTAATTGGATGATTATTGTTTTAATTGTGAGATTGGAATATTAATATGATATGTGTGCATATTGTGATATTTTATTAGTTGGAGAATATTTGAGATATTTCCTATTTAAGGTTAAGTTGGATATTTTATGAGAATATGGATTAATAGATGTTTTGAGAGGAAATATAATGGAAAGAGTAGAATAGAAATATACATAAGAGGAAGTGGAAAGAGAAGAGAGGAAAATAGAAAGAAGAGAAAAAGAAGAGAAGGAAGGAAGAGAAAGAAAGGGAAAGAAAGAGGAAGAAGAGAAAAGAGGAGAAAAAGAGGAAACTTGGAGAATCATCAAGATCAACCCTTAGGAGTCGATTTAATCGGGTAAGGGTGTGAAATATTATTATCTTGTCAATGTATGTGATTATGTATGGATTGTTTGGGTGTTTTTGTGCATTTTCTATTTTTAGGTCAAAATGGATTAATCGTTAGAAATCGAGGTTTTAACGGTTAGAAGTTGGAATAAATGATGTAGATTAGTCGAGAATTGTTAGGCTAAGACTACTGGAGCTTGTGGGAATTTAATCGGGTGATTTTGTAAGTTTTGACATTTTTGGTCAATTGGAGGTTAAGATTTTGGATGAAAATCGGAACTCGTAGAATTTACGTTTTATGGTCCCAAATTGTTACTATATGATTGGTAATGATGAGTAGGTATTTAATCGAGAGAAAATAATTAAATCGGTCGGGTTTTTGGGGGTTTTTGGTGCAAACCCGTAGCTGTTTTTCTGAGTTTTTCAGGTGTTAACCGGTTAACCATATACGTTAACCGATTAACACAGTGTTGGGGGCCTAAAAACTGAGTTTTTGGAGGTTTTAACCGGTTAACCATATATGTTAACCGACTAACACTGTAAGTGTGAAAAAATATTATTTTTCAAAACTTTGAAAATTCATAACTTCTTTACCGTTTATCAGATTTTGTTGTTCTTTATATCAAACTGAAGTTAATAATATGTTCTATAACTTGGTGAAGAGAAATATTATTTTTAGCCGACTTTTAGCCAATTTTACCGATTAATCGAAAATAATGTTTTTAAGTGAGTGAAGCTTAATTAGGTAGAGCGTTCGGTTGTGATCGACCTCTTCTTGCATGAGTAACTTGTGTGTTGTCGATTGTTGTGTTGTGGGTAGCCATATGGCATGAATCTTAGATTATGAATCGATTGTGAATTGTGGCCGTTGGGCAATTTATATGCATTGTTTAAAATTGATTAAAAATGCATGATGAATGTGATGAATGATGAATACAATATACATGGTGAATGTATGATGATTGTATGTGTTAATATGTGAAGAATGCATGAAAAATATATTTGTGAATATGTATGCATTTCAAGAATGTCATGAGTCATTTTACATGTGAAGCATCATGATATGCATTCTTGTGTTGATTGATCCCGTGTAGGATCTACAGAAACCTCGTGTGCCCATGTAGTGTGTGAGCGATGGTTTATAATTGATTCCGCGTAGAATCTGCAGAACGATTGTGTCCCCATGTGGGGTGTGAGCAATCGGATTGTGTGCCCGTGTGGGGTGTGAGCAATCCTGAAATATCGTGTGACCATGTGTGGTGTGAGTGATGGGTGAACATCGTAGGCCCGACATGGAGTTACTTCGGTAACGAGCGATGGTTCCATTATGGTTCTTCAACTGAACCTGCTGAATGTGTCGGTACAGCATTTGCATCTGCATAGAGTCGTGAGTTGGTCTCTATGAGTTGCATTTATCATCTGTATAATTGAGATTTGTGAGTAAACATAATTGTAAATGTTTATGTGAAAATGATGTGAATTGTAGAAGCATGATTGATGAATATGCTTAGTTGTGTGTATATATGCATTAGGATGTATATGATGAATTGTGAATAATGCCTGAGAATATAATAGTGAATATATATGCATTGCTTGGTAAATGTGATAATGATGTTGAAAATAGGTATATGTGATAGAGTCGTACTCACTGGGGTAGAATGATTGATGTGTCGTTCCTAGTGGAGTAATCACTGGGGTAGAATAATAAGATGTTATTCCTAGTGAGGTATAGTGATGTGGTCGTATACACTGGGGTAGAATGACTAAGATGTCGTTCCTAGTGGAATAATTATCGGGGTAGAATAACTGAGATGCTGTTCCTGGTAGGGTATAAGTGGCGTACCTATAATCCCAAAGGGGGATTGATGAGAATTGATGGGTTGAATAGGAGTCACAAGACATAGATAGGATCGTTGTATGAAGTATGCGTATGTGTGTGAATTTTTGAATTGAGAATTTTGGATGTAGGCATGATAAAATATGCTTGGTAGTTATCCATATTGGTTTATATATATTGTGATGAGTTATAATTGAACTGTGGTGAGAAAACGTGGAATATATGTATTGTGTAATTGTGCGTTCATATTGAAGGTGAGAAAATACTTAGAAGGGGGGTTGAATAAGTATATAGAAAAACTTATAGCAATAAAAACTCAAGGATTTTTATCCTGGTTCGTTGAACTCAACTACTCCATTCCACCCTATCCAGAGTGATTTGCCTTTCTCAACAAGGACTTAATCCACTATTAAATCAACTGATTACAATAGCAAGCACTAAGAGCAACTGTTCTTAGTCTTCTTAAGAACTATTGATCCCAA